TCCCGGGTGAGGCAGATCAGTCGCCAGCCTCTGGACAGCTGCTCATGGTGGCTGCTGGCCACTCATGCTGGCTGCCGGCTACACACGGTAGCTATGGCAGCCCACTGCAGCAGGGGCTGCAGCCTATGCTGTCACCGTCGACCCACAACAGCCCAGCTCCAGGTTGAGCTGTTGTGCAGCATCTTAGCTGTGGAGGGCAGTGTCAATGGCCCTCATATGTGGGATCCAAACCGGGGACCTCTGGCATCCCAAGCCAGTTCTTAACCAATGCGCCACTCGGCTGGCCCTCAACTTTCTTAATAATGACTTACAGTAAGCATATAAGTATCAATTATTTGTAAAAATCTTTTGATATTCTCAAACGCTTCCAAAAAGTTGCAAAGGAGGGAACACTTTCTAACTCATTCTACAAGGCCAACATAACCCTGATACCAAATCCAGACAAAGACACTACAAGAAAACAACAAATCAGTATCTCATTAATACATGCAAAAATCAACAAAATACTAACAAATCAAATTCAGCAGCATATTAAAAGGATTATACACCATAACCAAATGGGATTGCCAGAATGCAAGGATGGTTCAATATATGAAAAGCAATCATAGTATACCACATTAATAAAGCAAAAAACTGATTATCTCAGATATACAGAAAAAACATTTGACAAAATCTAACACCTTTTCTTGACAGAAACACTCAAACTAAAGTAGAGGGAAACTTCTACAACATAATAAAGGCCATACACAAAAAACCCACAGCTCCCTGGTGAAAAATTGAAAGCTTTCTCTCTCAGATAAGAAACAAGGCAAGGATACCTGATTTTACCACTTTTATTCAGTGCAGTATTGGAAGTTCTAGCCAGAGCAACGAAGCACGAAAAAGAAATAAAAGTCATCCATATTTGGAAAACGTAGAAGTAACATTATCTGTTTGCAAATGACATGATGTTATATGTACAAAAATCCTAAAGATTCCACCAAAAACTGATGGAATAAACAAAATTCAGCAAAAATGCAGGATACAAAATCAATACACAAGTCAGTTCTGCTTCTATACACTAACAATGAACAATCCAAAAAGAAAAATTAAGAAACAATCCCATTTATAATAGCATTAAAAAGAATATTTAGGAATAAACTTAACCAAGAAGGTGAAAGATGTGTGTACTGAAAAGTATAAAACATTGCTGAAATAAATGAAAGACAACACAAATAAATGAAAAGACATCCTGTGGTTATGGACTGGAAGACTTAATATCATTAAATGACAATATAACACAATGTGATCTACAGATACAATGCAATCCCTATCAAAATACCAACAGCAATTTTTGCAGAAACTAAAAAACCAATTCTAAAATTCATATGAAATCTTGAGGGACCATCAATAGCTAAAATACTCTTGGAACAGAACAACAAATTTGGAGGTTTCGCACTTTCTGATTTCAAAATTTACTACAAAGATACAGTAATAAAAACACTGTGGTACTAGAATAAGGACAGACATATTGACTAATGGAACAGAATACAGCCCAGAAATAAACCCTTGTATATATGGTCAATTGATTTTTGATAACAGTGCCAAGAATATTCAATGGGGAAAGAAAAGTCCTACAAATGATGCTGGGAAAACTGAATACCCACATACAAAATAATGAGGTTGGACCCCTAGCTACACCACATACAAAAATTAACTCAAATGGATCAAAGACCTAAATGTAAGAGCTAAAACTATAAAATTTAAAAGAACATATTGGGTCGTCGGAAAAGTCATGACATATTTTTTTGTTGAACATAGAAAAAATACATCATGACTTTTCCAACAACCCATTAGAAGGGAAGCTTCATGATATTGGATTTGTGATATTTCTTGGATATGGCACCAAAGGCATAGGCAACCAAAAAAAAATAGGTAAACTGGACTGTACCAAAATTAAAAACTTTTGTGCATCAAAGAATACCATCCATAGAAGAGTAAAAAAACAACTCCCAGAATGGGAGAAAGTATTTGCAAATCATGTACCTGAAACAGGGTGTATAAAGAACCCCTACAACTCAACAACAAATAAACCAAAATTTTTAAAATGGACAAAGGACTTAGACATTTCTCCAAAGAATATATACAAATGGCCAATAAGCACATAAAAAGATGCTTGAAGGGCCGGCCAAGTGGCTCAGTTGGTTAAGAGCTTGCTCAAGAGTGCGAGCTCTGAGCAACAACAGTTCGAGTCCTGGCCCGAGCTGAGCTGCCACAGCTAAAAAATAAATAAAATAAAAAGATGCTTAACCAACTAATCCATCAGGGAAAGGGAAATGCAAATCAAAACCACAATGAGATACCACCTCTTACCTGTTGGGGATAGCCACTACCCCCTCCTCACCCCCTCAAATACCTAACAACAAAAAAACACAGAAAATAACAAGTGTTGACAAGGCCATGCAGGAACTGGCACCCTGGTGCAAAGCTAGTGGGAATATAAAATAGCACAGCTTTTGTGGAAAACAGTATGGCAGTTCCTCAAAGTTAAACAGAATTACCATATGACCCAGCAATTCCTAATATAGACCTAAAAGAACTGAAATCAGGGACTCAAACCGATACTTAGCATACCCATGTTCATAGCAGCATTACTCACAACAGCCAAAAGGTGGAAGCAACCCAAAGGTCCATCAAGAGACGAATGGATAGACAACATGTGGTCTATACACAAAAGGGGACATTATTCTGTCTTAAAAAGGAAATTCTAACATGTGCTATAACATGGATGCACCTTGAAAACATTAAGTGAAATAAGCCAGACACAAAGACAAATATTGTATAATTCCATTTATATGAGGTCAAATTCATAAAGATAGAAAGTAGAAAAGGGGTAACTAGAGCGTGGGGGGGCAGGGAGGAATGGGTTATTGTTTAATGGGTATATAGTTTAGGAAGCTAATTCAGCGTCACTTAATTGTACATTTAAAAATGGTTAAAATGGTGAATTTTGTTATGTTATTTATGCTATTTTCCACAACAAAAAGAATCTTTTGATAATGACAGCTATGGTCAGAAACTTGGCAATGAGGTCATACCTATTTTGAAACCTGATCTGCTACTTTCCAGCTAAGTGCCTTTGGGGAAATTACTTAACCTCTGAAGAGCTTTAGTTTCCTCTTTTGTAAAATGAAGACATTACTACCTCAGAGAGGTTGCTGTCAATTAACATTTTTCTTTTTTTTTTAAGATTTTTTTAGTTTTATTTATTGTTAAAGATTTTATTGGGGAATTGGGGGTAAAGGAACAGCGCTGGGGAATCGAGGATGAGGACAGCAACTTGTCCTTTTGTGCTTCCGTCTAGTTGTGGAGGACATCGCTTCACTGGCCCTTGTTGGTATTGTGATCATTGCACTCTTCTTCCTGGCTGAGGCAGATGGATTGCCGGCCATTGGACTGCCACTCACAGCGGCTCATGGCAGCTCACACCGGCTGCCAGCCACTCACAGTAGCTTATGGCAGCCCACTGCAGCCTACACCTCGCCAGCAACTCACGGCAGCCCAGCTCCAGGTTGAGCTGTTGTTCACCATCTTAGCTGTACAGGGCGCAGCGTCACTGGCCCATGTGGGAGCGAACCGGCAGCCCTGCTGCTCAGAGCTCGCGGTCCCAGGCCAGCTCTTAACAAACTGAGCCACACGGCCAGCCCAGGATTAACATTTTCTTAAAAAGTAAAATGCTGAGTATAGGGCCTATTGCACTGCCAACTCAAGAATGATGGGTTGTTCTTTTAGCAGCTCTAGAGACAAAGGTAGTAGGTTATCTTTAAAAAAAAAAAACCACACAAAAAAACCACGCCCAGCCGAGTAGGGCATTAGTTAAGAGTTGGCTTGGGACGCCAGCTCTGAGCAGCAGGGTCCCGGTTTGGATTCCACATGAGGGCCAGTGGCGCTATGCCCTCCGCAACTAAGATGGTGAACAACAGCTAGACCTGGAGCTGGGCTGCCGTGGGTTGCTGGTGACAGTGTAGGCTGCAGTGGGGCTGGCCAGCAGCTGGTGTGAGCTTTCATGAATCTCCATGAGCGGCCATCCAATGGCCAGCAACTGATCTGTCTCACCGGGGAAGAGCGCAGTGGTGGTGCCAATATGGGCCAGTGAGGCAACGTCCTCCACAACTTGACCGAAGAACAAAAGAACAGCAGCTTGTCTGTTCCCCTCCCCCAATTAAAACAAAAAAATCTTAAAAAACAAAAACAGAAACCATGAATGAAGAGAGTTGGAAAAGCTTTAAAATACATACATAGGTACCAGGTAACAAGGGAACTTGAAAAAAGGAGGGGCGGTCTTGTCTTTTCAATAGTTCATGAAAAACTCTCTTAAATATAAGAGAATTCCATTTATACAAGTTCAGTATGAAGTGTGTAATACAGGTGTTTAGAAAAGAAAATGCAATCTTAGGTCCCCACTGACTAGACCAGTTCACCTGCTACTATGTTTATTCTAAGAACACACTTTCAAACAGATGGATAAACACAAGTGCTTCCAGAAGAGGGTTCCCAAGAGATGAAGGATGGATTACACATAATGGTGACATAGATAACCATTCAAGTGACTCGACAATGGGACAGGCGACAAGCACTCAAGCACAGGTTGAAATAATCACAATACAGATTTTACGGAGCAATTACTACACTGGAAGGGAGAAGGAGTGCCAGGAACTGTGACTTTTAAGGTACTTTCCTGTCTAAGATTCTATAACTCTAAATGTAAATGTTTAAACTTGGGATTTTTGGAAAGACAATGCTACTCCATAAAGACAAACGCCAGGCTCGTGCTGATTAAATATGGGCACATATAAATGCTGTCTCACAGTCATGGAATGCTGTTCTGGGAAAATCTCTCTGGATAACAAAAGTAGTGACTTTGGAACAAAAGCAGTAAGACAATTTCCAAAGTGTGTACTTCTTCTAATTGGCAAATACATTTTAGGCAAAAAGGAAAAAACACACTTAAAACCCACAGACACAAATAAACCAACTTTAATAGATATTATTTTGTATTTATATAGCGCCTTCTTCAAGAACCTTAGATGCTTTACAGACATTATAGCTAATTAATCCCCACAACAACCCTGTGAGGTAGGTATGACTCCCATTTTACAAGATAGGGAGACTGAAGCACAGAGAGGTTAAGTGACTTGCCCAAGGTCACACAGTTAAATTCACTGAAGAGCCAGGACCTGAGTGCCTTAGCCTCCCAGCTCCCAGTTAAATACCTCATGAGAGAATCTTTAATGAAAAGTATCTCTAAAGAAAGTATCAAGAGTAGTATGTTATGAAAATGAGGTCTTTCTACCGCCATCAAGGAAAGAAAAAACCCTATACTGATGGTTAGAGGCAACAAGACCCATATATTACACATGTCCTTTTTTCCCTTTTCCTGAAGTCGCATGGCTTGTCTTAAGAATTCTCCTAAAGGTGAAGTTTCCAAGACAGAAGCCATATGACTCAGAAGCGAGACTTAATTTAGAATATTTACTTTTAGTTACGATAATTTATAGAAACTTTTATTCCAATATACAAAATATGGGACAGCCATCCCAACAAACATATACATAGATAGCAATCAGCCATCATTTACAACTTAAACCCGCCCCTCACTTCAATCACAGTCAACCGACAGCCTCACAATGCTTTCTATATGGGTCACTTTTCTGACTATATCTGCGTTCCCCCCCAACCCTATCCCTACATGTTTTTAAAGTATATTGAGTTTCTGATAAGCTTCCAAACATTGTACTTAGATGCAGCTGCACTCAGTAAAAAGTAAATTGAGAACCGTCATCCCACAGTCCCTTCCCCTGACAAAACCATACTATTAAATATGGTGTAGATGTGAACAGTGTGTGACTACCATGGAACTCAATAAAAATGCTATGATTTGCTTTAATGTGAAATGTACCCTTGGCTTTGACTGTGGTTTTAGAATGCACAATGTAATAACAAACACAACATGGTATTCCAACGCTGTACCTTTATGCAAATGACTTCATCTATCTTTCTTATACATGCTGTGGCCTGACTCACATAAAAACTGACTCAGCTTCACTTTCCTCTCCTCTGTACTGAAAGCTACAGAAATACAGCTTTAAATTCCAAGACAATTTGGTTTAAGCCCTCAAAATAAACAATGTATCCAGTTCCACTGCTATGACCTTCCCACATTCTTGGTTGTGATTCTCTGTGCAATGTTGGTAGATCAGGCAGGCTCTGTAATTTGTACAAAACAATTCCAGCCAGGTTACCCTGATTTTAGAAACTATACCTTAAAAAGCAATTTGTCAAAATACAATATGATTTTCTCCCAGCACAGCCCAATTAGCTAAATGACCCTGTTAAAGATATGTTCATGGAAGGAATAGGTGAAGTCATTTCCTGAGCTAAAAGATACAAATAATAAATGTTAATAATAGCAGCAGACAAAAACATTCTTTTTTGTTGTTTTTTGTCTTCATCAGTATTAGTAAAATAAGTTTAGAAAATTACAGCAATTAAAAACAAGATTACTGCCTGAAAAGACTTTGATAAAGAATATCCATGGCCTGATTGCTATTATTCTGAATATATATTCAATTATTTTCGACAAGTGGCTTTTGGCCACTGTCAGAGAACTTACTGATGCATGGAAAAGTGTCAACTGCGATAATTTACACACATTGCCTTATATATATATTACTTCTTAAAACTCCCAAAGGGAGTCTTAACAAAGTTTAATTTCCAAACACTCTTCCAGCAAGATTTGTAAAGGTGGAAGGAGGAAAAAGGACTTGCTTTGTGTATTCCTGGTCTACTTCATCAAAATTTGATCTTCAAAGGGTTTTTTAGCAAGCTACCCAGGCTGCTGGGGTTATGAACGGATTACTTCTTTCCAAGGTAAAGAATGACACTTGAAAGTAACATAATCGCTACGGCATGAATTTTCCAAATATGGCCTCAACTTGAAATATTAGCGTATTTAAAGATTCTAAAGACTGGAATACCAGCACCGCACCAGAATTTCTTTTATCATTCCAACAACCATAGGGAATTTTTAATAGTTTCTTATTTTACTGAAATTAAAACTGAATGAAATAACTGATTTATGAACCATTAACAAAAGGACAAATATTTAGCCAGAGATATCAGTTCCTCCTGAAAAAGAATATTTACCTCCTCTCATTGCAATTTTTCTTAAGGTATCTTACTGATTTAAAAGTTTAAAATTCACCTTAAAAATAGAAACAAACAAAAGGTCTAGTTAAACTGACAAAAAGTAGTAAAAATATGCTCAAATTTACTGACAGAATCATGGGCACTTCATACAATACTTAAGACTCTACCAGTTTTAAGTAAAATAAATAAGAAAAAAAATTATAATTACAAAGCCAGTCTTTCCCCTTGGGGAAACAAAAAGCCACTTTTGACCAATTGTTCCCTACATATACATATACTGTATATTATTATAAGCTTCTTCAGAGAAGCAAAACATATTTGTCTTCCTGGCACTGGGTATCTGTTAAGTTTTTATTCAACAGGAAGGCAACTGCAAGTGTTGGGCCCAAAAGTATTTCTGGTTTATGCTTGAAAAGACCACCAAACATTCTTTCTATACATAATTCAACCCAGGCAAATTTATGCAGCGTGTTCACAATCATCTCCTTCAATTATCAAGACCACCCAGCATAGATTCCTCTTCTTTCTGCTGCACCCCCAAGGAGTTCAAATCATTATTGGTGCAATTAATAAAGAGCAAATGCATGTCGATTACTGGAAGGCTGTTTTACAAGAGGAGCTGCTATCTCTGATTTCACTTCCTTGTTGTGTGGAACTGCAGACAGCATGATACCTGAGCAAATAAATCAACTACCATGATAGGAAGAGCTTGTTAATCCACAGTCTTTGCTTTATTGTGTGCAAAGTGTGCTACTGCCCCCTGAGCTTCCTGCATTTCTCTTTTCTTGAAAAATCAGTGCTTGATCCTTTCCAAAATAACCAAAGAAGAAACGAGGCAGAAATCTCTTCATCACGGTTCCCCTTCAGTCCCGAGACTGATAGAAAAGGATGTAACCAGACTCAGAGTTCTTTGAGATATCTGACGTCAACCCGTAGAATTCTTCAATAGCTTGTGCATCTATTTTCTGTGAGGCAAAATGTAAACATTAGTACATAAATGAGCTCCTTGAACTGCTTAAATCCAGTAAAATCTTCAACATTTCTTAGAAACATGACCTTCATTTTCTCATTTATAAAATAGCTCTGCAAAACTAGAATGGCTTAAATGAAAAAGATTAACAATACCAAGTGTTGGTGAGAATATGGCACTCTCATACGTAGCTAGGGGAATGTAAAAGGGTACACACACGTTGGAAGAAATGTTTAGCATTTTCTTCTAAAGCTGAGTATACAACTACCCTTCGATCCAGCAATTCTATTCCTAGGTATATTGGCTGAAATATATGAAACCACTAATTGGCAACTACTTGGGACCTATGAAAACGGCAACTTCATGTGGTCCAACTTAATATACACCCAAGAAAATGAGTGCATATGTCCAGCAAAAGACTTGAACAAGGATAATCAAGACAGCTTTATTCATAATAGTCAACAATGGACAAAGAGCCACGTTTCTAACTTGATATATTCATACAATGGAAAATTATACCGCAATAAAGCACTGCTACTACAGGCCACAATAATTATCTCACAGATATAATGATGAGTGAAAGAAGCAGACACAAAAGAAGTCATGCTTGATGAGTCTGTTTATATTCAAACATAGGCAATATTCATCATAAGGATAAAAGTCCACAGAGTGGGTCTGGGGAATGGTGGGCAGAGGGGAGGAGAGCTGTGGGTACTGACCAAGAAGAGAAATGAGGAGCTTGCTGGGGTGTTGAAAATGTACTGTATTTGGATCTGGATGTGTGCGTGCCTGTGTGTGTGCGTACCTGTGCGTATGAGAACCCATGTAAAAATTCATCGAGTGGCTGCTTAAGATTCGTGTAATTTACTACAGGTATATTATAGCTCAACAAATTACTTATTCAATAATGAAATATTTTTTTAAAACTAGCTCTGTCATTGAAAGCTTTCTCTTGTTTTATTCTAAACATTATAAATGTTAGTTGACAATTCAAGCACTGGGACTGGATGTTAGGGAGTACGAAGTGGGAATTAGATTCCGATCTGAAGACCTGAACATTTGTGTAATATTTATCGCCTGTTAACTATGAATGAGAAGCTGGGAGAAAAAAGTGAAGAGTAAAATACACACACAACTTTGAAGAATAATAAAAAATGATGAAATTACTTACTTCTACAATATCATCATCAAACAACAACCAAAAATCATGACTCTTAACTATTGCAATATAATGGCCTCGATTGGGACCACTGAAACAAAGAGAAAGAAAAGTTAATGTTATAAAATGCCTACTGGTATTACTCTTCTATGCCCTAAATTTCATGTGCTATAAAGTAGAAAAACCAAAACAGACAAAAATACTCCTTATTCTTTCCCCCCCAAAATCAAGCTACATTGATTTCAACTAGCATTCAATTTTAAAATTAAATCATTAGTGCTTTGCTTTGAGATATGATCAGTATTCTAGTCATATAAATCTAAGCTATTAAAATTCTTTATTGTCTTTGTAATAATTTTTAATTATTATTTTTGAAGTAATTTTCAAATTTGCTTCTATGAAAGATTTAAATAAAAATTTCTAGCATTTTTGGCAGGGAGCAGGATTACGTATCTTGGAATAAATGTATCTTGCTACTGAAGCACTGGATTCGAACCTCTAAGACCTACGTTCAAATTGTGCAGGAATACCCCGCATGCACACTGATCACTAACCCGACTCTCATATGAGGCCACCCCCCCAACCCCCCACTAATTGCAGCCATTACCTTCCACAGTGAACCACAACAGCAACAAGGTCGTACATTCTATCAGGATTGGTTGCATCGCCTGAAGTGTTAAAGAGACGAAGCTCTAAAGGAAAAACTACCCGGTAAGAAAGTTTTGTATATCGATGAAGTTGATCCATATATTTAAATCTCTTCAGATGTAGAGCTAGAATCATGGGCAGTTTTTTAACTTTCATCCTATTAAAATAAAGATGAAAACAAAATTTCATAAAAGACATTCACCGTGTCTTTAAAAGAATTATCAAACTTTATGATTCAATTTCCAAGTGGTTAATGGTCAGTTTTAATAGCCCAGCACTGCCCACTTTTGCATATTTTTACCAATTATTTTTATATTGGCAAAGCAATATTCTGAAAGTCTTACGACTACCCCACCCCACCCATCATTACCAAACCACATAATTTGACTCAGCATTCAACACAGCTCCAAAACAGATGGAATGGCACTAGTCTTGGATAAGAAATCTTTATTTTTGAAATATGATAAGGCTAAATGTACAGTGATGCCTATGATCAGTGGAGGAAAAACCAGTTCCTTAAAGCTGCCAGTTCCTTTGGATATGAGTGGAGACTGAAACCATTGGTTCTATCAATCTATATATATAATTAATAACAGATTGAGAACAGGAGACAATGAGAAAAGCACTCAAGACTATTCTTCTACTAATGGTGTTCGCCAGAGAGAAGAAATCACTCCACATTAAAAATAGTAACTACACGTATCCTGGAAAGGGAATAAAATAATTGGGAAATTGAGGAGTTAAGTTTTTAATAGTGAAACACAGGCTACTCTTCACATTCTACATAATCTTTATTACGCCCTTACATGCTATTTCTCCCTGAGGTTACCTCTCTCCTACTTCACCTAAAGACAGTCTACTCTTTTAAAGGCTCAGCTCAAATGTTACACCCACTGGTACAAATAATTGCTCTCTTCAAACCTCCACCAGCGCTTTACATATTCTCCTTATTTATGTACAGTTTATTACATTATAAAGTGTTTAGACGATTATGGGTTTTTCTCTTCTTCTAGGATCTGAACTCTTGGCAGGTCGGAGTCACCTTTTCCATTTTATTTCTCCTCTATCTAGCAAAATGCCTGGCACATGATAGAGACTTGACAAATGTTGCAGAACTGAACTCTGTACATGTACAGTGGAGCAAAACACTTTTCATAATTAAAAAATAAGATGTATTATGCCATTGCCTCTAATGAAGTGAAGAAAATAATTTTATAGCATTATTCTAAATCTGCATTTTACAGATCTTAAATGTGGTGGGAATATTCTAGAAATATTTACTATTCTACTAACCTGGCCTTTGAAAAACATTTGCGAAAATAAATGTAAACAATCATTCCTGGAAAACAATCTAGCAATATGAATTAAGAGCCTTTATGGTCTTTACCTCAGTAATCTCATTTTCTAGAAATTAAATTAAATATATCATAAATACAAGATTTCTGAGGAAAAGTCACTTCTAGAGTTACTTTATATATCGTGAAAAATTAGAAAAATTCCTACTATTCAACAATAGGAAATGCTGAAATAAATTACAGTGCAAATAGAACAGAATATTATACAACTTCAAACAACAGTGATGGTGAAAGTTTCTAAAAGGCATGGGAAAATACTTGTGGAAAGTAAAAAAGTCAAGATATAAAATTATATAACCAATAATCCAACTTTATGTTCACCAAATAGTTGATTAAACCCATGTAGTTTCTAAAATAAATTCTTTCAAAACAACAAAAACAAAGTATCCTTTGAAGATTTCCAGTGGAGTATAGATCCAGATGAATTCTCTCAGCATTAAATGAACGTTAGTGACATAGCTGGCAGTCAGTTAAGGTTAGAAAGAGGAGGTAGACATGGCCTGGTGGTTAGGAAAAATGTGCTTTTAGAAATGAAGCAAGGGCAGAGGGGGGAAAAGTCCAAAAGGAGAAAAAAACACCTAAAGGCTAGCTTATAAAATATGTTTGATCAGACAACACATGAAGAATGAGTCCTACTGGCAGTTTAATCCCAGTGGAGGAATGTCAGCTACCACAAAGAAACCAAATGTTTGTGGGGATAAACATGACAAAGTCAAATAAAAACATTTGTGGAGCCGTATTTTAAAGATGATTAGAGACTACCTTACAAAATTTTCCTCATATTAAAATAGTTCACAAAGAAGAAAATTGCTTGGACACACATGTAAGGAGTATGAAATCCATTGTATAGATTTTACAGCAGCAAAAAAAAAGTTGATTTCCTGCTCAAAACACCAATTCCATCAATACACCAATGAATATGTAGGATTCTGGTTTTCCTTCCATTCAGAATTGTGTGGAGAGGTTACATCAGGGAGCTCTTGATCTCTGTCACGGTTTTTCCTTTATTTTATTTTATTTTTAATAATTTTCTGTTTTTCTTTCCATTACTGGGGAACAGTGTGTTTTTCCAGGACCCATCAGCGCCAAGTCAAGTAGCTGTTTCAATCTATTTGTGGAGGGCGCAGCTCAGTGGCCCATATGGAGATCGAACTAGCAATCTTGGTGTTATGAGCACTGTGCTCTAACCACCTGAGCTAACTGGTTGCCACTCTGTCATTGTTTTTAAAAAAATTTGTCTTAAGATGTAATGTTTTTACAAAAAACAAATTACGTTGAAAAAATGGAAAGATACAGAACATTTTTTTCCTTATAAAGTTTGATTTAACATTGATTTTATCTTCTGTAAACTGACTTATAAATCAATTTTCTATTTAAAATTTTTAAATGGCACTTACCCACTACACAGAGATTAAAATCTGGATGAATTTATGTTATACATACATTTTCTTGCTTTTATATCTTTAAAACAATAAGGTGTGTTCATTTTAACATTAAGAAGTGTTTACCTTTTTTTGATAATATGTGTCGTAGTTTAAAACTGTTTTAAAAAGTAGGAGGATAAAAAAGACAAACAGTAAATCAGCTGGCTTTCACTGATACTGATTTCAGTCAAAGGAGTATTACTAGAGATAAAGAGGGACAGACCATAGTAAGAGGCCAGTTAATCAAGAGGACATAATCTTAAAAGTACATGCTCCAAATATCAAAGCTTCAAAATTTGACAGGATTAAATAAACAGATAAATGTATAATCAGAGTTGAAATCTTTAATAGGCTTCTTTCACTAACAAGAAATGAGTAAGCATAGGGAGGATATGAACCACCAAATTATGGATCTAAATGATATTTATGGAACACTCCATCTCAAACTACAGAATATACATTATTTTCAAGTACAACTGCAACATTCACCAATGCACTAGACAATTAAAGAAGTTTCAATAAATTCCAAAAGACTAAAATCATAGAATATATTCTCTGACAAAAATAAAAATATCTAGAAAATTCCCAGAGTGTGCAAACTAAGCAACAAACTTCTAAATATCCATGGGACAAAGAGAAAATTACAAGGGAAATTAAAATAGATTTTGAAATGGATGATAATGCAAATACAAGATGTCAAAATTTGTGAGAATACAGCCAAAGCAGCATTTAGAGGGAAATTTATAGCTTTAAAATGTTTACATTAGAAAAGAAAAAGAGTTTAAAACTGAAAATCTAAGTTTCCATCTGAAGAAGCTAGAAAAAAATGGCTAATGAAACCCAAAGCAAGCAGAAATAATAGAAAATAACAAAAATCAATGAAATACAAAACAAAACAACAGAGATTCAAATAAGTTGTAAAATTCCAGCAAGGTTAATCAAGGGAAAACAAAGAAAACACAAATGGCCAATATTAGAAATCACAGACAGGCTATTGCTATAGATTCTACAGACACTGAGAACATAATAAAGTACCATGAAATACTATTCAGCAATAAATGGGAATGGACCACTGATACACGCGACTACTTGAGTAGAGCTCAAGGAATTATGCTGCGAGAAGAAAGTCAATCTCAAAAGATCACATACTGCATGACTCTATTTATATAACATTCTCAAAATGATAAAATTATAGAGATGGAGGAGACGAGTGGTTCCAGGAGTTAGGAAATGGGGCCAGCGGGGGTGGGGTGGGGGTGCTGTGTGTGACTAGGGGAGATCAAGCACAAAGGAGATGGGCCAGTTCTGCATCTTGATTGCTATGGTGGTTACATGAATCCACATGTGATACAACTGTTCAGAACTACAAACATAAACAAATGAGTCCATGTAAAGCTGGTCAGATCTCACAAAGGTCAATGCCGACTGTACTATATTTATGTAACATGTTACCCCTAGGGGACACTGAGTGAAGGTGGTACATGGGACCTCTCCTTACTATCTCTGTGCTATGTTTACAATTTCCTGTGGACCTATAATCATTTCAAAATACGAAGTTTAAAAAAAAAGTAAGGAAATATCATGGATAACATTATGATATTAGGTAACTTACATGAAATGGACACATTTCTTAAAAAAAACACAATTTACCAAAACTGAAAATAAGAAAAAATAGGAAATCTAAATGGTCCTGTACTTGGAATCAAAAACTTTCCCCCTTCTTGAAAAGAAACAACAGGACCAATGAGCAGCACTGATGAACTCTATCAAGTATTTAAGGAAGAAATAAAGCCTATCTTATACAAACTGTTCCATAAAAGAGGAGGCGGGAATGATGTCATTTCTGAGGCCAGCATAAACCCAACACCAAACCCTAACAGAAGTACTACAAGAAAATAAAATTACAAACCAGTATCCCTCATATTTCACAGATGTGAAAATCATCAACAAAACATTAGTGAACTGAATCCAGCCACAAACACATAAACCCCACTTGGTGATGATGTAATAGATTAACTGAGTTGATTTCTTCTTTATGTTCTTTCTAAAAATCAGTAACTGTAAAAATAAAATGGAAAGATTCCTTTATACTCCTAAATTAACAAAGCAATAATAAATATGTAAGGAGCATTTAAAAATTTACATAGCATATTTCCCCTCTGAAAGAGAAACACCCTCACCCCAGCTTAAATTTTCTAGAAATTTTAGATCTCTGCAAAAAACTTACGCTGATCAACAATGTGATTTTTAAAAACAAGCATGTCCTCTTCCAGCCTAATCAAAATATTTTCCTGTGAGACCGGGAATGAGTAGACTACAGGTATTATTACTTTCTTAGAAAACATTTACTGCCCACATTACATATCAGATAACAAACT